AGCAATGAAGCTGAAATCCCGACCTAAGAAGCACTGACTGACCTAACTGTGTTTCCATCGGTCCTGTAAGACTTTCGTGATGACTTAAAAAGTTAATCGAAGCAATAATAAGAAACTGAATGATTTTAGTTAAATGTCAAATCAACAGATCAGGATTTAGTATAAGTATTTGTCAACTATTATTTATTTAAATTGGCATCACATATTTATTTGCATATGCAAATTTGACTGATTTGCACGCTCCAGGATGTGGGCAAGAAGAAGAAGTGCGTGTTAAAAGGCTGTACCGTATGTTTCTGGGTGTATGCATGTGTGTGTCTCAGTGTCGCAGTACAGCCTTTGTCTGCTTCAGGCTGTATACACAGACTGGAACCATTACTATCAACTACAATTAGGTACAACCCACCACAACATACCACATAACAACTACTGCTACTAGCTACAATTAGACCCTATACACCACAATGGCCTCAATACCATAGTCAGGATAAATGCATCAGTTAATCATTTCCATCAACTACAATTAGCCACAACACCAGTGAGGCTTTTAATCTGAAATTGCCAATAATCACCCCAAGACATCTGTTGAAGGATGTTCCGAGAGGGTTGTGGGATATTTCAAGGTAGGGAAACCACATTGGAGAGTTTCAATTTTGTTAATTACAATTTTTTAAATATACAGCCTGGTGGATTGTATTACAGTTATGTAAATCATCCATGCAATTAACCAAAAAGTCTAAAAGGTTTTGAGTTCACGTTGTGTTGCCTTCACCAAAACATACTTAAAAGGTCCAGTGTTTGAGAGGATCTATTGGCAGAAATTGAATTTAATATTCATACATGTTTTCATTAGTGTATGATCACCTATAAGAATTGTTTTTGTTACCTTACAATAAGGGTTAGAGATCTATTATCTGGTCTTCCCTCTGATGTCCTCCATCTGCTCTGCTTTAACTTTCAGTGATTTACAGAGTTTCCAGATGGAAATATATCCTTAGCTACTTGTTGTTAGCGGTTAGCTTCTTTAGCCACTAACTAGCTGCCGCGGTTAGCTGGTTACCTGTGCAGCTAACAATCATATTAGGGGACTCTGCCTGTACTGGGAGCTCAGAGCACCGGGGGCAGTGTTGGTGTTACATCTTTAGTACAGGAGCTTCGGACCGCCGGGAGTGCCAGTGCATCAAGTTCTCAGTCTGTTAGCAGCAGTTAGTGGTCAGCTAATAGCTACAAGTAAATGTCCATTGGTGAACTGTGAACTGTAAATATCTGATAGTTGAGGCAGAGAAGCCACACAACATCTGGGAAGAAAATATGTAATATTCCCTTGCATACAAAACTTTCGTCCTGACTCCTGAGCAGAACAGTTGGATAACTTAGACAGACTTCGTGCAGAGACACGCTGCCTAAAACAGATAACAAATAAATCTGTGACAAGCCGACGTCAACTAGTAGACATAGTAAGTAGTAAGACATTGAAACCTTGTTTCAATAGGTCCCCTTTAACTTTATCTTAAACAAGATCTTCAATTTGCAAAAATATAAAAACAGCAAAAACTCAAATTTGAGACTGTAACTCAGTTAAAAAGACATTATTGCTTGATGAATTACTTAAACAATTAATGGATTAAAATGTGGTCAAAATCTGTCAATCGAGTAACAAAGGACGTTAAACCTCTACCATCATTTCCAATGTAATAAAACAGTATTTGCGCTTCATGTAATATTTAAGTTTGTTTGAACTACTTGTTTGAACATTGCACAACTCCAACAAGACCACATAATGTGCACAGATCATCTTACAACTCCAGAAGAACACTCACATTAATGTAAATCATAACAAATAAAAGAAAGTCTTTTTCATTCAAAAGAACATAATTAGATGTCACAAATAAAAAAATAAAAAAGAGATTACCAGTATATCGCAACCATTTTCACCCAGTGAGTCTAATTCTCTAAATGCATTTTATTAAATCACAGTAATGGATGGGTCTGATACCAAATCTCAACGCAGTCAGTTTTCTTCTGCCTTCAGATAGCTTTGTTCTTCCCCTCCCCGTGGGACAGCTGTAGTTGGCATCTCCATCTTTCATAAACAAAGGATTAATGTGCAACATATGAAGAAATAATGCTAAAGGCAAGGTCTTGTTACACAGAGAGATTTCTCTCAAGCTTTTCTTTCTGCTTCTTGATCTGCGTCATTCTGTCTCTTCATATTATTCTCTCAGTCTCTGTCCCTACATTTCCTACTCCTAATCATCTGTCCTTACTTTTTTCTTGTGCCGCCATCCCTCTTCCTGTTTCATGGTATCTTTCGTAGTTTTTTTTTTTTTTTAAAAGATAGATTTATTGAGGAGTGGGGGTACAGTGAGGAGGAATACGGTTAAGAGAGGAAAGATGAGAGGAGGGAGAAAGAAGGTAAGAACTGCCTGTGAGAAGAGGGGCGGTAAATGAGAGGAGAGAAGGAGGACAGGAGCTTGGAGGGGAAGGGAGGAGAAGAGGTTTTAGACAGGAAAGAGAATATACTTTCTTCACTTAAAAAGAAAAAAAGAGATTGTCTGGGGAAATGGATAGATAGAAATAGGAGCCAAGGAAGGGAAGGCAGAGAGAAAAAAGGCGAAGAACAGATGAGCCCTACATACTAATAAGCATCCTCAGAAAGTGGATGACTATTAAAACATCTACTTTAAAACTTCCCCTAATCTCCAACGTGAGTTTTGCCAGTAGAAACAGCAGCGTTTATTAGCCACAATAGGGCTACTGGAGAGGGGCATTTCACTTCTTCTCATGCTTCAAAGTTGAAACCATGAAACAAAAAAACCTAAAACTTCCCATTATTTAAATATTTTCAACAGATTCTAGCACACTCTGGGCCTAATTTGTCCCAAAATCTGAGATAGAGTCGTGCATCAAGCCAGGCGTCCAGCTGGTTGCCCCTCCAACAACGTGCAGCATGATGGCTGGTTGATTTAAACCAACTCTGCAACCCACGGTGAGGTTCCTGGTTTATTTTGACTGATATAATGAAACAGTTCTTCTCCAGATGTCCTGTTCTGAATTCTTTTTTTTTTAAGGTGATGATGGGGAACTTGAAGAAAGAAAGCCATTGACATGGAGTGAGTAAATGTGGACATGTGGGAGCAAGCTGTCCCGGCCAAATGGCACAGTGAATAAATTAAATGAATTCACTCTAAGTAGAAAATACTTTAATTAGCTGAATTAATGCAAGAGCAAATGAACTTCATAACATTTCAAAAATTCCTCCTAACGTCCGTCTCAATGAACAGGTTGGAGGAACGGTTCACAAAAATGTAAGACGTGAAAATGCATCAAATTCTCACATTTGAGAAGTTGGAAGCTCCAAATGTTTGTCATTCTTGCTTGAAAAAATGCTGAAATGATTAATGGGTTCTTAAAATAGTTCAGTTATACAGTCAATGTGTCCAATAACGTGCCAAAAATGTCATTTTCAGTGAATTGTCCATAAAAGACACCATTGTACGTAAAATTTGTTTGTATGTTCAGCAATGGTTTGCTGACCATGCTCTAATAAAATTGTTTCTTTACTCTGAATAAATACCACTGAAGTTGCTGCCAGAAACCTGAAACACATCCCTTCCTGTCTGTAAAAAGGATTTTCCCTGGAAGGACCTGGCAGACACCAGCTGTTGTTGTTGTTGTTGCAAATGTCAAAGCTTTCTTGACTGTGTTGTATCACTCAGCAGTCATTTATTTATATGAAAATGCCACAGATTATTACTTCTAGGAAGTCCACTGGTGCACAAAATGGCAGTCACGCTGAAATGGCTTGTAGCTTTAGGTTACGTGTCAGTGAATGAAAGCAGCTGAGGAAAATAT